TTCCTTCTTCAGATGTCAGTGTTGATGAGTACTATCCTTTGATTCGTAAAGACTCCAATAGTCACATGCTAGGTTTCGGGGTATACATACGCATTAATTCCCCTATTTGTCGTGAAATCAGGTTCGAATCCTTTGACCATTCTTTTATGTGCTTTCGCCTAGCACCTCTTCACTCTATCACCTTTCTCTTTGTTCTTTATCGCTCTCCTTCTTCCTATGATTGCACTCTTTTAGATGTTATCTCTGATCAAATTGACCATGCCCTCTCTCTTTACCCCTCTGCCAATATTGTTGTTGTTGGTGATTTTAATGCTCATCACACTGAATGGCTTGGCTCTAACACCACTGATCCTGCTGGCACTAAAGCCTTTAACTTCTGCGTTTCTCAATCTCTTACTCAGATAGTTAACTTTGTGACTCGTTTTCCTGACAACCCTAATCATTTACCTTCACTCCTTGACTTATGTCTTGTCTCTGACCCTAGCTTATGTTCAGTTTCTCCCTTTTCTCCCTTAAGTGGTTCTGACCATGCAATGATCTATAAATCTTTCTTTTCGTACTTCTTTTTTGGGCTCACCTTATCATCGCACCACCTACTACTACCCTAAAGCTGATTGGGATTCCTTTCGTGATTTTCTTCGTGATGGTCCTTGGGCTGATGTTTTTTCTCTCTCAGCTGACAAATGTGCCTCCTACATAACCTCCTGGATTCAGGCTGGAATGGAAGCTTTTATTCCTTCGCGTCAGTTTCAAGTCAAGCCTCATTCTACTCCATGGTTTTCTCCTTCTTGTGCGGCTTCTATATCCAATTGTAATCATTTTTTTCATCTTTTTCAAAAGAACAACTCTCTTGAGAACAAACGGCTATTTATTATTGCAAGAAATCGATGTAAAAAGGTGCTTTCTGATGCTAAACTCCATTATTCTCAGTTCACTAAATCTCGCATCTTATCGCAGAAGTTAGGCTCTAAAGACTTTTGGAAAATCTTCAACAGCATTATTAACAAGGGTAGATCTAACATTCCATCTCTCATTCATGGGACTGATCTTATTACCTCTCCCAAGGATAAGGCAGAACTATTTGCAAAGAACTTTTCTTCTAATTCCACTCTTGAATCTTATGGACATTCTCTTCCTTCCATTCCAGTCAAACAGGTTGACCCAT